ATCTTCGTTCTGGTTATTGGCAGATTGCCGTGGACCCCTTGGACCGAGAGAAGACGGCTTTTGTAACACCCGATGGCCTCTACCAATTCAAAGTCTTGCCTTTCGGCTTATGTAATGCCCCCGCCACCTTTGAACGAATGATGGACTCCCTGCTCCATGGATTCAAGTGGTCTACGCGTCTTTGTTATCTGAATGACGTGATTGTGTTTGCTCCCACTTTTTAAGCGCACCTTGAGAGACTGCCGAAAATTCTTGATGTATTCCGTCTCGCCGGCCTTCAGCTGAATTCATCCAAGTGCCGGTTTGGTCGCCGTCGCATTACAATACTTGGACATATTGTTGACGCTTACGGCGTACAGCCTGACCCAGAAAAAGTTCGAGCTGTGAAGGACTTTCCTGTGCCAAAAACCACCAAAGATGTCCGCAGCTTTGTGGGGCTCTGCTCCTATTTTCGGCGGTTCATCAAGAACTTCGCGGAAATCGCTCGGCCCCTAACAAATTTACTCAAACCAGATGAGACGTCTACCTGGGGTCCCTCGCAAGCAGCAGCATTTTCCGACCTGACCACTTTGCTCACTTATTCTCCTGTGCTGGCTCACTTCGACCCTACGGCACCGACCGAAGTGCGCACCGATGCCAGCGGTTACGGAATAGGCGCTGTGTTGGCTCAGCGACAACGTGGGCAGCATCGCGTGATAGCTTATGCCGGCAGGCTGCTGTCCACCTCGGAGCGTAATAATTCCATCACAGAGTGCGAATGCCTAGCGCTGGTGTGGGCAGTCGCGAAATTTCGCCCTTACTTATGCGGCCGACCATTTATAGTCCTCACCGACCACCACGCTCTCTGCTGGCTCGCCTCCCTCAAAGATCCCACAGGTCGTCTCGCCCGCTGGGCACTCCGCCTCCAGGAGTATTCTTACACCGTAGTGTATAAATCAGGAAAACTGCACAAAGATGTGGATTGTCTGTCACGCTACCCTGTGGCCGACTGCGATCCTACGAGCACTGATTCTGTGGGCTGCGTCCTTTCCATCTCCCAGCTGCTTCATCTCGGGGACGAGCAGCGTCGCGATCCGGATGTCAGCCGCCTGATACAACAGCTCGAATCTTCACCGCAAGACGCTTCTGTTCGCATGTTTACCTTAAAGGACCGCACATTATATCGGCGTAATTTATCGCCCAATGGTCACGACCTACTTCTGGTCATACCAAAGCACCTGCGTTCCACAGTCCTACGCGAGCTCCATGACGCGCCAACCGCGGGTCACCTTGGTGTCTCTCGCACATATGACCGTGTGCGCCGCCGCTTCTACTGGCCTGGCCTTTCACGCTCTGTACGTCGCTATGTCAACGCTTGTGAAATTTGCCAGCGTCGCAAAAAGCCGTCGGGACTACCTTCCGGATATCTTCCGCCCATCGACATTTATCTGAGCCATTCTTCCGTGTTGGTTTGGAACTTCTCGGTCCCTTCCCTACATCCGCCTCCGCAAACAAGTGGGTCGCGGTGGCTACGGATTACGCGACCCGTTATGCAGTTACGCGAGCCATGCCAACAAGCTGCGCTACAGACGTCGCTGATTTTCTACTACGCGATCTCATTTAAGTGCATGGAGCCCCTCGTCAACTGCTGACAGACCGAGGCCGTACGTTCCTTTCGAAAGTGATTGACGATATCCTGCGTTCCTGCTCTACCCAACATAAGCTCACGACATCGTACCACACCCAGACAAACGGGCTTACAGAACGTTTAAACCGCACCCTGACAGACTTGCTATCGAAATACGTATCGGCCGACCATCGTGATTGGGACCTTGCACTACCCTACGTGACGTTTGCATACAATTCCTCCCGGCTTGACACTGCTGGGTACTCGCCATTTTACCTTCTGTTTGGACGCGAACCAACATTGCCGTTGGATACCTTCCTGCCAGCCGCTGCGCAGTCTACTTCTGAATATGCACGCGACGCTATTACCGGAGCTGACCATGCTCGTCAGCTTGCCCGCAGCAGATTAATGGCGTCGCAAGACTCGCAGAAGCATCGATACGAGGAGCGGCATCGCGACGAACACTTTCCAACAGGTTCCCTCGTTCTTCTCTTGTCCCCTACGCGACATGCACGCCTTTTAGAAAAACTTCTCTCTCGTTTCACGGGCCCATACCGCGGGCTTAGACGAGTGACCGACAATACATATGAAATTGTCCCTGATAATCCATCAACCTCTTCCACTCTGCTGTCAAGGGACATCGTCCACGTATCAAGGCTCAAGCGTTACCACACTGCTCCTGCTGTGGCCCCGTAAACTCGCCGGGTCGGTGCTTTGGCCGCCGGGGGTCGTGTTACGTGATTTCGTCTGACTGAAAGAGGGCATAGTGGGGCATACCCATGAAAGGTGCCTCAGACTGAGAGTGAAGAAGTGGACGCTGTCGGTGAGCTGCGTTGTGGCTGCGGACTGACAACTGTTATTTTCTAGGTAACGATATGCACTGCGAGGCACATCGCGTGAATCTTCACTTGTTGACGCGACACAAAGCACACCATCAAACACATCAAACTGACATCAAACTTCTCGCCTATAAATCTTTAATCCGAAATAAACTAGAATATGCAGCTTCCATATGGAGCCCGCACCAGGTATACTTTTAAATGAATTAGAGTCTGTGCAAAACCGCGCCACTAGGTTCATACATTCTTCATATTCATATAACATAAGCATATCATCCCTTAAACGTGAAACTGGTCTTTCGAATCTTTCAGTGCACCGCCGCATTACCAGCCTTTGTTTGCTACACAAGTTCTTTCACAGCCCTCTTAATCAAGCACCCTACATCGTCCCACCAACGCGCATATCTCACCGCACTGCCCACGCGTTTCAAATTGCCCGGCCACATGCTCGCACTACTACTTTTTCTGCCTCTTTTTTCCCCCGTGTAGCAGTGGACTGGAATGGCCTTCCCTGTGACGTTTCAGCCATCACGTGTCCATCAACATTTAAAGAGAAGGTCACCACGCACATTTCCATTTGAAAACCTGTGTACATTTACCTGTAACCCACCCCTTATGCAATACCCCCTACATGGGGGTCTTTAAGGTATTATAGTGATGTGATGTGATGTGACCAGCTTTCAGAACTTTTCGCCTCCCACCCAGATGGTAATTTGCAAGAGAAATATTGCTGCAGGACAGCATTCTAACATAAAGATTTCACCCGTCAGTGTTTCAGGAACACGTCCATGGGTACTACATAAACCGACTGATAATTGTGGAAAAAATGACTGAAAAATCATTAGAAGCTACGCTGAAATATTTAATTGTTCCAACCAATGAACTCTGTATAGCCAAGATGGTGCAGCTCTTCAAAATGTATACCACTTCACTTCCGGGATTCGTTTGTAATGTTATTGTTTTAACAAATATATAGACACTCAGTAGAGATTTTCATCATCTATGTCACGTCGCGTATAAAATTCAAATCAGTAACTTTTGTGCACGCATTGTCTATTGTATTTACTAGTAATAGCTCCCGAGTGCTAATGAGGAACACGGCTGAAACATAGATGAATTAAACTGCCTATCTCCGTCACACAGAGGGTTCACGCGATAACATCACTTCACGTGTGAGTCCTGGATTCCAGTGATCTTGAAGAAGGAAGAAAGCGCCTTGTCGGTCTTCACTGGACGCAGGTAAACGAAGAGACAGCGTGGCAGAGAGGCTGCGTGGTTCAAGCCGCAACTGGGATATGAGGCAATAGGAGCGTGGTTGCAAGCCCTCGCACGCGCGGTATCTTATCAGGCATTAGCCAACGGCTTTTATATACCCTTTCTAAGACTATACTCTTGCGGCTTCCGGCTGTCACTTCTGCCATGAAATACTGAATGAAAACTGCTTGTTTCTTGAAAAGAGTTGTAATCCCATGCACCAGCATTTTTCACTTTCGCGAGATCAGGTGAAAAAAACTTAGCTTCCATTCCTCAGTTCTTTCTGAAATCACATTACTTCCGTCATGCTCATTTCATCACTAGCTCTGGAAAGCAGCCTTTTTTTTTGAAAATTCAAGGGACCCATTTCTTTAACTACTAACCCCCTCGCACAGCGCCGCCTCCAGAAGTGCAAAAAGAAGCGCGCCGGAGCCGGCAATATTTGAACCAGCACACCGTTTTTCTCAGAACAATGGCACAGCACACCGTATCTGTACAGCTTCTCAGGAAATCGAGATGTTGCCTTTTATCTTGTCACCACAGCCTAAATCTTATTCTGTAGTAAGAAGGGTTGCATAACTCCTGTTGTTGAAGTACTGTTGCCTAAAAGGTACAGCGCTGGATGGAATGGCTAGCTGAGTTCACTACAATGTGAAGGATATTCTCTTTTGTGGAGAAAATCTCACGGAAATCACAATGCTGTCCATGTGGCAAGTATTTTAGATAATAGCGGTAGTGTTCCCTCATCAACCATGTATTTAAAATATTTCCTGGCGTACGGAATAAGGAATACAGGACAGATAACTTCACTGAATATCGTTATATATGGCTTCATTAGAAAGGCGACCTCGATGAATTTTCAGGTTTTTGGAAAGTCACCTTCATTGCAGCGGCTCTTATCTCGCCGAAAGAGTACGTTCAACATACGGATGACTACGTGCTATCAATATTTGTTGATGACTTTTTATATAGGTTTCTTTATGTCTGTAGATTTGTATTGGACCAGATATCACTGTCTTTTCCTAAATTGACCGTCTAGGTACTTTAAATTGTACAGCTTGTCGGAATATGACAAACCATTGATGTAGTGGCTTGTTTGTTATTAGAGACACACAGCCTGAAGTTTAGGTTTCTAGTCTCCGTATGAAGTTCCAAACATGATCGGAATAATGTGGAATGCTATTATCACGGAAGTATTATGAAATCTATTTTAATAAACAAGCTGAAACATCAATATTAAAAATCTTAAAAAGTGAGATGTAAGTTTATTATACCTAAATAAAAACTAAAAACATGCACGCTATTCTCTTGACTATAGCCAAATCTGTGATTAACTCAGAGATTGCGGTGGCAATGCTGACAACATGACGACCAGGCAAATATTCGCCATCTACTCCGCGGCAATGCGAAGTTTCAGCTCATTGTTCCTCTTACAAAAATTAAAAGTCTTCAAAATCTGCAAAAAATGAAAATACAGTTGTCCATGTGAAAATAGGCCAAAATCTTCAAGAACTCAACACCTGAGAAGGTATTCTCGGTACTAAAAATACCACGGTGGCATAAAAGTTGCTAAGAGGAACATACACAGACTAAGCTAGAGAGCAGGCTTGTTTCCGAAAAAATTGCGCTTGATCACGTAATCGAAATGACGTGTCCAACCAAGTAATTAAGAAAACACCAAACGGCACAATATAAACACTTTCACTTCTTTTTTGCACAGTACGAGAATGCTGTCAACTCTAAAGTGTTGATGGCAATTTCGAAACCGATAGGTGTGGCTCGCGATGCGAAGCAACGCCTCTAAGGCCACTTGGCTACTCGCACATCCATCTATCTTTTTCCTTTTCTTTTCTTGTTCCGTATATATATATATGTATATATATATATATATATATATATATATATATATATATATATATATATATATATATATAATGATAACTAACCAACTATAATGCCAAGGAATTATAGGGGAATTTATTAGAACTAATTGTAACGTAAACATCAAGAAAGAAAAGTGGAAACATAGATAACTTGCTGTGGGCGAGATCTAAACCTGCGACTTTCGAATAGCGCGTTTGATGCTCTACCAACTGAGGTACCATGGCGGCTATCACCCTAGCCACTTTATTGGTATATATGAGAATTAAACGTAGCAGTGTCTGTGAGCACCACCAGTAGCCATGGCGGCGAGTGTGGCACACTCTTTATGAGCCTGTTTGGCACTACGTAGCACGCGAACATATTACGAGCTGGCAGCTGACGAAGAATCCATCGTATAGTACCTAAAGGCGCCCAGTATGCGTTATTCGAACATCGCAGGTTTGGTTCCTGCCCATCGGCAAGTTATATTGTTATCTATTTTTCTTTCTTCATGTTTACTTTACAATCAGGTGTGATAACTTGCCCGATAATTTTCTGTTCATTATTTTGTGTTAATTATTTTGATATATATATATATATATATATATATATATATATATATATATTCTGTTTGTGCGTTTACGAAGGGTGGTCGGCCTTCAGGGAATATCATCGCCTTTAGGGATTGCCCATAACTGTAGTGTTCCCTGACGAAATCAGATGCTCTAGGTAACATAGTGTGAGCCGATATAAACACTTTCACTGTGCGTCCATCATTTTGGAACGTCTGGTAAGCATGAGATCTGCCTTATTATTTCTCGATACATAAATCGGGAATTCGTAGAGGAGACAAACGCCACATGCAGGTAAATAATCTCACTAGAAGCGTAAGAGACCTTGGGAATTTTCAGGCAATTATCTATGTCTTAGAAGAAGTTCCCTGCATTCTAGTTTTTGAGTGTCATCTTTCAAGCGAAGTAAACAGGCTGCAAGAACTAGTTCATCTCAATATCTGTATGAGAGTAAGATACGTACACCCACGTGAAGGTTTCTTGGAAAACATGGCTTGCATTCTTTGTGGGAGTCGGATCGGTCCATCTGTAAGATTGTAGTTTGGAAAAAAAAGAGGAACTGGATTTTCTTCCTTTTACTTCTCTTTGAAATGCTCAAGGTAAATATGCTAAAGACAATAGGCTACGAAAACACCAACCGTTCTGATCAAAAATGAGCCTGAAATATGTACTACCTTAGGAGCACGGTTCCTTGAGCGAGTTTATATGGCGTTGTAAAATATATTCACTGCACCAGAATCAGGATCAGACATTCATAGTCAGCGCTTGTGCTGGCCGGTCGCTTTTTTTCGGCTCTTGTTTTCGGTGTTGCCAATTTGTTTCCTGATGTAACACCTTCTATTTCTTACACTGTACACTGAAATAAATATCGACGTGGCAGCAAGAACCCGTCTAGAAACTTTCATAATATAGGGATAGTTATTATAGTGAGGTGCCTTAAGCTTTCGACTAGCCGCTTCAGTCAATTTTGTATGAAGAATTCGTGCCTGCTGGTATCACGCGCTGCCTCGACTCACGGTGAAGTAAAAACGACGCGAAATTCAGGTTGTTAGAATAAAATGCGCCTGAGTTAGAAAACATTTGACAAAAAATATGTTTCACACCTTTAATGACTAGATCTAAGCAGAATGGTTATACTAGATTCCTGATTATGTGCAGGCTATAATTTCACTTGGCTACATTCCCTCCACAGTCTCCGGAAAACGCTGATTCCAACGGCACGCGAGATCTCCTGCTTTTTTTTTCATTTTATGTTCTATTTATAACCAATTCTTTTGAATTACAACCTCGATACGAGATGCACAACGAAAACACCACGATTCCACATTTGTATATATTTATTGCTGATTCCCCGAATGATGTTCTCTTCGCTTGAAGAGGACCTCACCGCCTATACCCCAGCTCTTTGAAATCGCCATGCGGGCTTTACCTTATCACCGTCATGCAGCTGGGCTCTCCACCTCAAATGGATGCCGATGCCTCGAATTTGTCATATTCGAAATTAGCGAAACCGAAATTCACAATTATAGGGCCGCTTCAAGTTGGCAATTGCATTTAGTTAAAAGAAGGTCTCTTGATGCGTTAATGTAAAGTAACACGCTGGACATCCAATGCAGACGAAGCGACTTGCAGATGCGTTATAATATTGTCTTTGTATCCTGACAAAGTTTACGACGAGTTGGGTGCGAGATGCCTGGGGAGCAAAGAAGTAGATGTAATAGTTGAATCTCTGCTGTGCTGATACAATGCGTGATAGTGAGCTGAGAAATTCTAGTTAACATGTCTTCGTATGCTATCATACTTGGTAGCAGGTTTCTGTTGCACGCATTGTGAAAGAAGGTTAATATTTGTTCACGCACGGTTATGCTGTAGAATTCGTTTCTGTCCCCATCCATACAGTAGAGGAATACAACGTGCAAACAAATTGTGAGCGTAAATGCCAAGAAATGTAACAGAAAACAACACTATTCAGGGCCCGATAAATTGTGATTCATCAAACTAGAGCTTCTGGATGTCTTCTTGTTAGATAATTTATTCTATTTAAATATATAACTATTTTCGAACTTGCAAGCCAAAAAGATACGCACTCGGAACTCCATGCGGAAACATCTTGGGAAGTTTTGCTAGTATGGCAAACTTTTCATCTGAAAAAAAAGTAGTTTTACATAAAGGACCATAAATCATTGCCGTTATTCATTCAGTGCCACATACAAAATGTGACTGATGAAACAAGAATTAGCTGAGAACGAAGACAACACAAAAGTGACGCGCACTCTCCGGAGTTCCTTTACTATTTACTCTCTCTCAGGAAAGAGAATCACATGAACGCGTCTGCTAGGAAGCCTTAGAAGAGTTTCGAGTCATCGAAGTTGTTGTATTTTGCTATTTACAATAGTAAACATCCGCTATAGAGTGTAGCAGCACATTTTAATTTGCAATATAACAAAGATTTTTATATCAGAAAAAAGTTGTTGCTTTGCAGCCACATAAAATTGTCGCAAAAGTTTTTCTCTCTTTAACACAGTGGTAAGATGCACTCATATTCAAAAGCTTAGAAATAAAGGAAGCAGACAAAAGAAGAAGACGGCAAGGTTAAGCACAAATACGTCTGGTTGGCTATCCTACACTGGGAGATGGGGAAGAGGACAAGAAAAACGAGAAAGAGGCAAGATAAGAAAAGGGAAAAGAGAGAGACACGGTGAATTCAATGCCTCGTGTTGAACTCCACCGCACTTCAGAAGCGTTTGTTCGAGAGCTTTGAATGGTTACAAGCAAATTTTGTAGGCCAATTTGCTATGATTCAGATAAGATTCCACATATGAATGATTGTTTCTGTAGACTTTTGTTCCCCCAAAACCGTAACAATTTATTATGTTTACAGTATAACATATAATTAACGCCTTTGGCTTTACGACGCAAAACCTTGCTAAGGTTTTGAAAAGTTGGATAGTGTGGTGTTCTCAACCATGAACTGAAATCCGAAAATATCCCAACATCTCAAATTCACTTCATATTCTTGTCAAACATTGAGTCCATCTCCTTTGCACTCACAGCACATCTGTATTACGTTAAAAAATCAGCAATGTTAATGTGATTCCATCTTATCCAAAGGTAGGGCTTCGAAAGTTCTCTCACTCAAAGGCTTCAGCGCCTCTATTTCGAGATCGTTGAATTGACTATCGCCACGCAAACACAGATGGTCGAGTGGTGAACAGTCTGTAGCTTCGAAGGGGGCCTTCAGGACAGGTGCCATCACTACGATAGTTCGTCATCCTGGCCTCGCAAATACTTCAGGCAACCAACGCTGCTTTTTATTTGATCAGTCACCATTTTGGTATCAGTCTTAGTTCCACAGTCGTAGCCGTAGCTTTTGGTACCAAATATAAAGAACAGAGACCGAACTGATTCCTGCTTTTTTCTTCCACTCTAATGGTATACTGCTCGTAACGATGATTGTTGGCGCACGATGCGAAGCCGTCTTCACCTTTCATTTTCAACAACACCTTCTCCAAGAATTGTGTTATGCCGAGTGCACAGATGACAACTCTCGTAGAAATCTTCCTTGAGCCCGTTGACCCGGATAAATATACCTGTTTCATCGGCCACAGTGAAAGACAACGCCTACAGCGCTGCCATAATAAAACCTTCGATGAAATTTCAAAACCATTTTTACTGCGAAAAGCTGCAGTTTGAATGAGTAAATAACATCTTGCGGGCGAGCGTCACATGTTCTTTTTTGTTTGAGATAACAGGTCTAAATGAAAATAGGCTCTTGTCAAGCACCATAGGACTACAGGTTACCACAAAATACAAAACACAGCTTCTTTAGCAGTAAGTTATGTTTGGACGAAGCAAAAGAAAACTGCAATACGTTATGACACTTTTCTTGCTTATGTCTACAGGTGATAATAGTCAATGAAAAGTAACCACAATGCCTTTTTTGAGCGGGACAATTAAGAACAGTTCCGGTCAACTTAAGTGGTGGAATATGAAACTAGGAACTAAAAAATACCAGGGAAGTATGAGCCCAAATTCAAATAATATTTTGACAACTGCTTGGCTCACGCCCCTCTCAAATTTCCATTGCAAGTTGAGAAGATTAAATCCGTAGCAGCAAGCGCTAGATACTTCACTTGAGATGGGTGCAGCTACGCAGAGCAACAACGTTCACTGGTTGACTTTCAAGCAGAGGTCAGCGTTCGTTTTGAGTATGTAGGCATTTGGTTACCACTATTCAGCTTAGAAAGGTCTCGTAAAGATACACTTCTCACTAGTCCACATCTACAAGCTTCTGATTGGGCTCGCGGCACTGTCCCAAGTGTTTTACCAACCGCGACCTTGGTCGAATTGGTTCGCAATGTACGCTCGTACCAGAATTCTCGCTTTATGTTGAATCTGGTGCCATCTATATCCTTTTTGCATTTCGTCACCGTTCATCTTCTTACGGCGTTCCATTACCGTGAGAAAAGCATGAGGTGTCTCACTTTGCCCATAAAAACCCATCTGTTACTTTCAATATTTATTCATGGTAGGCCCTCCGACATTTCACTCACTGATAACTTGTGATAACGTGTGATTTCCACATCATAGTCAAAGGAAGTGCGACTGGGGTATCAGCCTTCTTGATAGAGTATCAAATTGTGTCGAGATGGGTGGGCCTCAGAAAAGCTCGAGCGTTTTGAGATGCAGTGCAACAGAGGAACGCATGAGAAGCACCATCCACACACAAGTGAATAATTTTATGAATGGCCCTTCATTAAGAGCGCTATGTGCTCGCCACTTACGAAAGACTCAAATGAACCGAAAACAACCCTTTCTTGTTGGCTTAATCGAGAATGAAGACATGTTTTGTTTTCACTACGATGACAGCGTGAAAACAGCCCAAAACACAGAACTAAGTAGAGGTGACCCACAATACCATTGGTTGTGCTCCGTGTAACATTTATTAGTCCCATTTTTTGCGGTGCCGTTTTTATAAAGTGTCATGTCCCAACCAATACTCCTCGACACACCTTCGCTAAGGTTAAGAGTGATCAAAGACAGATCTTACTGTTCCAATGTCGGGGTCTTTGAAAGCCTTTATTTTTATAATAGCGTGCAAAAAGATGTTAGCAGTAACCCTTATGTAGCGAGAAGCAATGCAGAAAAAATTCATGATGGCATTGGCCCCTGGGTACGATACTGAGAGACGGATAAACTTTTCAGACTAAGAGAAATTCTTTCTGAGAAATCTGTATTGTTTTTGGCCCCGCCGTGGTGGTCTAGTGGCTAAGGTACTCAGCTGCTGACCTGCAGGTCATGGTATCAAATCCCGGCTGTGGCGGCTGCGTTTCGGATGGAGGCGGAAATGTTGTAGGCCTGTGTGCTGAGATTTTGGTGCACGTTAAAAAACCCCAGTTGCTCAAAATGTCCGGCGCCCTCCACTACGGCGTCTCTCATATTCATATGGTGGTTTTGGGACGTTAAACTTCACATATCAAATAATCAATTCCTATTGATTTCCACGTGTTTTGCTACTCGAAAAGGGCAATTGTCAATATTTCTCTCTAAACCGTTTCGCCACACAGCATAATCTCGTAGAGCTGCTGAAGAATATTGTAGTTGACTTAATTTAAAATCACGCTTCATGCAGTCATTCAATGTGAGCTTTTGAGTTAAATTAAATTTGTGTACTTTAAACATCAATGACTTCACTCTTATAATGAATTGATTAAGAAGAGCCCATCGGCTGAATGCTCAGTCTGGCATTTACACTATATAGAACCATGCGCAGTAATATTGCAGGCTTATTGAACAGCACAATTTTCTACTTTGTGGTTAAGTGACAAGATATGATATAAATGAAGTTGTCGTGAATCTGCCCAGTTTCTCGAAGGCCAACAACCTCATTGCTTCTATTAACAGTACACCTGAAATAATATTTTGAAAATATTGAGTGCGTTGCGTTGCTGCTTGTGGCACACTTAATAATCACAAGTATACAAAAAGCATCAGAGTCCAGTTTTAGCAATAGCGTATAGGTAGGCAGTCTTTAAAAGAAAGACTTTCTAAAATGCTAAATCTATACGAACATTGAAAGCACATTTGCAATTTCTCGTTTGACGCAGTTTGATAAATCTAGAATAGTCTGCTTGCTTATTAAGCTTTATGTTGAGTTAGTGGTGAGAGGAGCAAGCAAATACGCACTCATCTTTGAAACTTGTCTCTGGTTTTCAGGAGCAGGTCCAGTATATATTGGACGTCCTGGAAAGGAATTAGGGACAAGATATTTATCATAAGGAACCCAGGCATAATGTTAACATCACTACCATTTATGTTGACGTAAATCGGAATGGTTTTCAATATACGTGGCACTAAAAAAAACAATGCATCGTCTTAAAAGCAGTTTGTACATCGGATACCTTAGTTTTTAAAATGCATCTCGAAACTGTGGCAATAAAATTGCAAGAAAAGCTGTAGAAAGAAGAACATGGAAGTTTGTGGCGATAAATCTATAAACAGCGGTTTTATCAAGCCTACGTTTCGGCACGCGGACTTGTCTTCGCCAAGGCTAGAGCAGGTTTAATTTCTCATTAAGTCCAAATAAATCATTTTTGTTGCAATGATATATCTGAGCGCTTGAACGCTGTCAGGTCGAGGCACGTAAGGGAGAGCAGGCACGAGTATTTTCTGTGGACATTATTGGAAATGTGCCGTTCAAGGGGCTAAATAGAAAATGTATGACAGTGAGTTACCTAATATTTCATTTATTATTGCGTGGATAGTCCTGGTAAATATCTGACAAAGTTTAGTGTTTCATATGCGAACGAAAGCGCTCGAGCACTACTTATTGTGCCGTGCCCACTTGTCATGGGCACGGCGCCCCGCCGCGGTGGTCTAGTGGCTAAGGTACTCGGCTGCTGACCCGCAGGTCGCGGGTTCGAATCCCGGCTGCGGCGGCTGCATTTCCGATGGAGGCGGAAATGTTGTAGGCCCGTGTGCTCAGATTTGGGCGCACGTTAAAGAACCCCAGGTGGTCGAAATTTCCGGAGCCCTCCACTACGGCGTCTCTCATAATCATATGGTGGTTTTGGGACGTTAAACCCCACATATCAATCAATCAAATCAATCATGGGCATGGCAGCATGGCTGCGATGCGTCTCGCTAATCCTTTCATCTATCTCGTGCAGCTTTTTGCGGCACTGTTGACTTCGTCAGCGGTGCACAATGGATCATGTGTTCGGACACATCCTGCCTCGACCAAGCTAATCGACGACATTGACTTACATGAGGCGAAGGCGCCATTCAACCCGGTGATCTGGACGCTACCGCACATGCGCTTGTCGTCACTGATTACTTCAGGGAACGACCATGGCGCCACCACGATGACGCAATGAACCCACAAAGCTATAAGAATGCCACACGACCCTCGAACAGCTCATGGGCACGGCAGCATGGCTGGGATGTGTCTCGCTAATCCTTTCATCTATCTCGTGCAGGTGATGAAAAATTATGGCATGTGCTCCCGAACCAGCTACCCTTACATAGTTGTGCTGCCATGCCCATGGCTGATTTGTTCTATATTTTGTGATTTGGGATTGTTTCTTGTGAAATTATTGCTTCTTGCTGGTGACGTAGAGACTAACCCTGGACCTAATATTACGCACTTTTCCAAACAGCTCCAGCAGATAGCAAAAGATGTTAAAAGAATGAAAGAGCTAACATTGGCAACCATTGACACAAAGTTAGAAAGCCTACCCACTCTTGAAAATGAGATATCATTGTGCATGAGGGAAATCACATCATTAAGAAATCTCGTATCTGAACTAGAGATGAAAATAGACGATTTAGAAAATTGGTCTAGAAGAAATAACCTCATTATACATGGTATCCCCGAAGAAAAAAATGAAGACCCGAGTTCGCTTGATACCATTGTTAACGGGAAAATAATAAGTGACATCCTAAAAACAGAACCTGTCGCTATAGAAAGAATTCATAGATTAGGCAAACCAGCTACAAAGAAGGTTAGACCAGTTATACTCAAGCTGCTTGATCACAGAGACAAAAACAGAGTGCTTAAAAACTGCTTCAAATTAAAAGGCTCTAAATTTGCCATCAGCGAAGACTTCTCAAGTCGAGTTCGTGATGTAAGAAGGAAATTATGGAGCTGTGCGAAGAAATTCAAACATCCGGGAGATAAAGTCATAATGAACTACGACAAACTGCGCATATACGGAGAGCTGTTTATTTGGGACAGCAAAAAGATGACATTGCTCCTGCGGTATCTAGCTATAATGCCGATGATCAGCCAAAAAACAGTCAAGACGATGCACGGACATTGTGCCCGCGCCGCCAAAATACTAATCAGAAGTAACGTTTCTAAACATCAATGCGCGTAGTATCTTAAACAAAAAGGACTGCCTGGAAGATCTGCTCATTTCGCTAGAACCAGAATTCGTAGGTATCACTGAATCATGGCTATCCCCTGATATCCTAGATATGGAGGTAACTCCTCCAAATTACGCGATTCTACGCAAGGATAGAGAGAGACATGGGGTTGGAGTTGCGTTAATATTAAGCAAAAAATTAAATTTAACGCCACTACCTCATGTTGAAGGAGTAGAGGCAATATTCTGCAAGCTTTTACTCAGCTGCTGTTCAATGATTGTCGGTTGTGTTTATCGAAGTCCCGCTGCTGACACACTGACACCATGCTTTTGTTGTACAAATACATGCATAATCACCTTCGACAGGGCCGAGTAATCCTTCTCGGGGATTTCAATCTACCTGATATCAACTGGTTAACAATGGCGCACCATTCCGCCCATTCAGATGTTATTTTAAATATTATGTTAGACTTCAACTTACACCAAGCAGTTAATACGCCTACTCGCAATCATGGGTTTGGTGGGAACATACTAGATCTGATTTTCTTGAGCAGTCACTTTCCCTTGGAAGAAATAAAAATAGAGGTAACAGACGGAATATCGGACCACAAGATGGTAATGTGCAGTATACCAGTCAACAACAAAGGCTCCAAATCGGTGCTTAAATCCTTTCCCGACTTTCACAATGCTGACGATACTAGCATTATCGACCACTTTTCACACGAACTATCATCATTCACCGAAATTTTCTGCCAGGCTTCAACTGATATTGAAATATTATGGCATACGTTCAAAGATATTGTCTCACAATGCATTCAAAAGTTCGTACCCTTAAAAGCAAAAAAGATAAAGAAACATAACCCATGGATCACGCGTGACGTCATTCATGCAAAACGTAAAGTGAAGCGACTAAGAAAATTACTTAAGAAAAAGTTTACTACGTCAACAAAAAGCAACTTTGACGATGCCATCATTAGGCTAAAAGTAACTTCAAAGGCCGCAAGAGAAAATTTCTTTAGTCACAAACTAAATATCTTCATAAAAACATCACCTACAAAATTCTGGAACTACCTCAACCCCAAGTCATCCGATGAAAAAACAGCTTCCCTCAGTGAAAGCCTAGCTACTGCAAACGCTCTTAATAATTATTTTCAATCAGTCTTCACACGCGATGATAACAGTACACCTCATATGGAGGCATGTGCTAAGAGACATATAGAACCTATTACAATCACTGAGTGAGGCATCCTAAATCTTTTGCTTAATTTAGATGCCGAGAAAGGCTCTGGGCCTGATAATATTCCCAACACATTTCTGAAGAAGTACGCAGCATGGGTCGCAAAGTATCTATGTTTAATCTTTGACAAATCGCTAACAACTGGTAAGCTTCCAAAAGAATGGAAGACCACTCGAATCACTCCTGTACACAAATCCGGAAACAGGCATGACCCAGCTAATTTCAGGCCTATCTCAATAACGTGCGCAGCATCTAAAATACTTGAACACGTTATTCTCAATCACGTAACATTGTTCCTTGACGCTGAGTCTATCCTAACGCCCTTCCAACATAGCTTTCGCCGTGGATTGTCTACGGTGACACAACTTTTGGAACTTGTTCACGACCTGTCCCTGGGCATCGATTCCAGAAAACAAATTGACCTTATACTACTAGATTTTTCAAAGGCCTTCGACGGAGTGACTCATCAGAAACTAATTTATAAGCTTAAGTTAACGCTAGGTAATGGCCCCATAATTATTTGGATAACTGATTATTTAGGAGATCGTTTACAGTTTGTTGAAATTGATGGCCAGTCGTCTGATACTGCCCAAGTGATACCCGGTGTACCACAGGGTTGTTTGTGTCTTGGCTCCGGCTCTTTTTTTAATATTCATCAACGACCTACCCGCTAATATACATGTCAACATCAGACTGTTTGCAGATGACTGCATTATCTATAATATAATCAACACGCATGAAGATCATGTTGCCCTTGACCGCGCTTTACAAACAGTAACGAAATGGTGCTCCGATTGGCAAATGACATTAAATGCAAAAAATCAACCCTACTGATAATGTTGAGAAAAAGGAATAAATCATTATTCCCGTATAAAATTAATGACACGCAATTAAGCGCCATTACTGAACATAAATACTTAGAATTACCAATAACTGAGGACCTTAAATGGAGTAGTCACATAAGCCACATAACAGCGACCGCGCTCAAACGACTCTTTTTCATCAGACGCCGCCTCCGTTTAGCCCCCATAGATACCAAACTGTTGGCTTATAATACATTTGTCCGACCGATACTCGAGTACGGAAACATAGTATGGTTTCTTTTTAATAAACAAGACATCGCTAAACTTGAAGGTGTACAAGAAAGGCAATACGGTTCATTTTTAACAAGTATGGGCCACATGAATCACCTACGGTGTTAATGAAAATGGCTGGTATAGATACTCTGCAGCGCCGAGGCAGAACAGCTAGACTGAAATTTATGTACTTAATAGTTCATAACAAAGTAAATATTGATGCCACAAACTTCATAACAAGTTTACAAACACGCCCTACCAGACATAACCATACGCAGATGCTCACTGAATACACCTTCCCTACCGACTGTTACAATAATTCATTTTTTCCATTGACCATAACAGAATGGAATAACCTTTTCTTACATATCATAGAAAGCGCATCACCAACACAGTTATTAACTGCACTTGAAAGCGTACCTTGAACCCTGACAGACAGTTTTTTTTTTATGTATGAAACTACACCTGTCACAGTTCTTCATCCTTATGTCTCTCTTACCTTTTTTTCTTTTTAAATACCAGAAAAACCACAGTATGCATTTGTCGCCTCGCTCTAAAAGCACCACTGTATAAAAATGCTTACACCATAGTCTCACAATGCTTTTTCTTTTTTTCTTTTTCTCCTTTTTTTTCTTCCATCGCCTACGGTTTGTATGCCAGCCTGTTTTCTTTATATTATTGTGTCACTAATCGCTCTTGTGTTGCACTTTTTTTATACTTGGTTGGTGTTTCCATTCTATCACAATTTGTGTTATGTTGTATTCAACTATTGTATATGTCCTCCTGCTATGATTCCTTTGGGATTGGCAGTATTTACAAATAAATAAATAAATAAATAGATGAACTGGCTAACCTCCCTGTCGTTCCTCTTTCAATCCTCCTCCTCCTCTAGATCTAGCAGAAAGCAATGATGTTGGCCCTACTTATCTCGTGCAAGGGGCATGGAATGTGTAGGAGAATGAATGCGTGCCCCCTGTAGCAGTGCGTACATTCTCCTGTCTCATGGAGTCGCCCAGAGTTGCGTGTCCCGTCTTTGTAATATGGTAAAATTACTACTTACACTTTCGAACGTTTTGTGTCCTTACCACAATGTTTGTAACAATGTGATTGACAGTGAGGTAGCTTTGCTCTGTGACAGCCACTATCCTGTATGTGTGCGTTCACGCTTTCTTCATGCCATATATTTTGTGTCAGTCACAACAGCTTGTAAACAAGGAATCTTTCCGTCTTGTTTCACGCAACACTCTACTTTCTACAGCGTTACGCTGCTGTGAGTTCATTACAACAGTAATCGTGAAGAATATATCATCAAGTCGTATTGGAAGATAATGCGAATTGGTTTGTAGATCAAACTTTATACGGTCGACAAAATCTCTGGAATATTCGTGCAGCTTTAGACATTCGGCAAGACAGGCTTTGCAGTAATGTCTTGTCCCTTTTGTGCGCCAGTCTTTACACGGGTAAAAGCAAAATGATTCAAATATTTATAGGTTTAATGAAAAAAACTGCACCTCTTTCAATCCTATAAGTTTGAAGGCAGTCTTCCATTATGCTAATGTTTTTTCTGCAGGCGTTATTTGTGGCACTCTGGCAGTATACGGGAAGAGAACATGCAGCAAACTAAAGAAACTGACGCAATGCTAAAAATAACGTCCAATGTTTTGTAGTATTTGCACATCGTTTCAGTAGGTAGGTGAGCAGTTTAGAAATAGGCGAAATCAGCATTCACGCCACCTCTCAAACTCACGTTATCGAAAGAGCTGCTGTGATTTAACGTAAAAATATATTTACTAAAAGTGTTTGGTTTCTGCCAGTATAAAACTAGTGCACAAACAGATTGCCATATCACTGTACAGTTTTTGTTTCTGAATGTTAAAAATTCATAAAAAGCCTGGTTATCTTCTCGGCTATATAAATATTCATCTCCAAATTAATTGGCATTCCCTCTCACTACGACATCATGAGACAGGCTTCACCATAACTGGAACAAAATCACCTGTTGTAGTGACCTCACACAGCCTAACGTTGAAAAAAGTGGATTTTTATGCGAAACAAGACTAAGAAGTAGTGAACCTAATAGAGCTCCCTAAGAATATTCAGCGGCTTAAGTGAATATTGTTTGCAAAGAAACATAGCGTATTCCAAAGTTTGCATGTATGCGTACACGTGACAAGACGTAATTTCAAAAATTGAATTGATCACTTACTTTTCGGTCCTGGCAACCTTCCTGTGAGACAAGAACTTCAATATTAGATATTTCACTTCATCCAGTTAGTCACGTGGTCGAAAGGTTTAAAATAGAATTTTGAGTAATAACACATAAAATTAACAAGATTTGCAAACGAAGGAAACATAATATACTGATGTTTAGGTGAACCCAATTACTAGCGAGAACAAAACAGGAATACGAAGCAACAAAGCCCCATTCTACACATTGTCATCTCTGTGCTTGTCATCTTTCTTTATGCTCACCACAAACCAGTCGAAGTACCTTCCTTAACATTCTCCAACACCGCAATTGTTTCGTTGTAGTGCGGTGCCAAATAGAGCGCAGCATCACATTAGAAAAAAAAGCACCATCAAGTGATTGTGTTTTGTCGCACTTTGCGGCTCTACAATGAACTGGTCCAAGTCATCATGCTTCTTGAGACTTTTCTCCAGCATCTTTATCATTGTTAAATGATTGACATTTAGCCATAGCTGAAAATATGCGTGAATTATAATTGATAATACTTTGAGACCAACACTAAGAGCAAGAAAAAAGCTCATATTACTGCAAATACTGGAATAATATGGTACAGCGCATAGTTATTTCCACTTAGAAAGTGATTGGCGGCTTATTGTATGTCTCCACAACAATGCGCGATTGCTGATTTTTTCTCTTGGTAAAATGTATATTTCTGTATTGTAGGGGATTTAAGTGTAGCAGGAATGATAACTGAACTTTTTTGCCTCTCCCTTCACTCAAAGTTCACGTTGAAATGAAGCGCATGCCGCAGAAATAATATAATCGTCCATTTCATTTATGCGCAAAAAATTTATTCTTATTGACAACATTTTTCATCTAGGCTCAAGTGCAAACGGGTCGTGGGCCAATAAGCCTAATTCAAGTGCCACCATTTAGAATCGCCAGCAGCTTTATTTGTAGAGGTGGTATATTGCCGCCTACGCCTATAAAGATCGCTTCTACGGAGAGTCGCAGACTTGTCACACGATAGCCGCACGAAACGAATCTCCGAAGCCACCCGCGTGCTTGCACAGTTAACGCCTTTCTATGTGTGCCTATGCGGTAAGACATGGTGCTTTTATGCATTTCGGTTTACATTCTGAGACATCGCCTCGTCCTTCGTCACGCAAAGATAATTGCGCTTTTATATCTATTTTTATCTCTTTCTACTAGTTATTCTTTGACTTCGACCAACTCTGAGCACGCTAGAGTAGCGTTTCTATCACTGTCTTTGTAGCTCTCCTTATTTGTTTGCTTGTTTGTTTTGCAAAGAAGAAACGGAATACACACCAGGCAGTGAAAATCGACGTCCCTGTCCAGAAGGCCCTTTAGACAACGGAATGATAGCTGCAGGATGTGGCATTTAAAATAGTAGGCATAACAAATTTTACATATGAACATATTGCAGGGATACAATAGTGTGCAGCAAGATCTTTATCGGATTGTACACACTTAACAGACTACACAGCAAAGACACAGATGAGGTCGAGATAATACATTAGAACCGTACAGCATAATGTGTTTTTTACTACAGTGTAGCTACAAAAATAAGTTAATTTTTCTTAAGCGTCTGTAATGCAGCTGTGGCTGCAAGATCTATAAGAGTTGATTCATGAATTCTAACCATGCTACTATGCAAGGACTTCAATAACATTATCCACAGATGACTCTAGGGGGGGGGGGTTGCGGAGAGGGTCACAGGCAAAGACGAAATTCATTTTTTAGATGCGGAGCATCTTATACTCGCGCCTTGTAGTGCGCCGTCCGCGCCGTCCGCGCCGTCCGCACCGCTTCTCGAACATTCGACAGCTGACGCGCGCGCATGCGCCGTCGCGCCGTCGCCCACTCTTCCACCATCTGTGCATCCCTTCCTCCTCTACACACCGCGCGCGCTTCACTCCTCCACCATCTGTGCACCCTTCCTCCTCTACACACCGCGTTCGACATCTACAATTCTCCTGATTCTCCAGTGGACGCGCATGTGGCGTCGCGCTTCGAGAACATTCAACAGCTGACAGTGCATGCGCCGTCGTGCTGTATATATACTCAAGGTCGGCGCTCGCTCGCTCAGTTGCAGCTCGTCGGTTGGTTTGTACGGCGCGTCGACGTCCAAGGTCGCGGTGAAATGAATTCCAACGAATCCACAAACACAATGATCGACGTCCCTTCGACCAGCGCCGCCCTTTCGCATACGTGTGTACGTGTTCACTCATTTAACACCCCCTCCTACAACCACGTTAACCAATTTAGCCATCGACCCAAGTAAGTCGCAATTTAACACCCCATTTCACAACCACGTTAACCAATTTAGCCATCGACCCAAGTAAGTCGCACTTTAACACCCCGTTAACCAATTATATGGTCCGCATCCTCCTCAGTGTTCCCCCGAGGGAAGCTGCGGGCAATTTTTTAATATGCTGGCTGAGCTGAATGTGAGGCAGCCGCTATACGCACAGGGGCGTCGTATGGGCATACGAAACGTTTTGAGACACCAGTACACGATTGCAGTTATTTTTAAAAAACTTAAAGCCCTGTGATTATGAACAGAGGGTGTTTGCCTACAAAATAACATGGGAGAATTGTGGCATGACTTAGGCAAAACGAGCCATAAACAAAACACAATAAACCTTGAGGTACGACAGGACACCCTGCTGAGGCAACCCCTGACCTCATACTAAGAAGGATCTTGTTGAACGATGTTAGACGATAGCAGAAAGTTTCGCTTTAAATATTTCTAGAGTGATTGTGGACAAGTTAACAAAAGTGGTACAAAATAAATTACTCGAGTTCACGTTCACCTGCCGTGGGGCAAACACGTTCAACAGCAAGCTTGAACCTCTTGTACATGTTTCCAAGGGTGCATGTGAGGCGTAAGACAGAGCACGTATGTCGTTAGAATGTGTGTATATTAAACGCCATACATGTATAACCAACACTTCCAACTTCATTACATGTATAAGTACATATTCTTCAATTGTTCGAAAAAACACTGTGCTTCGTAAATGAATGGTCATAATCACCTTAGGTGCTTTTGTAGCAAGCCTTCTTTCAAATGCTCGCCAAAATTCCTGCTTTAGTTGTCAGCCGCGGTTTAGTACATTGTAATAAATTTCTTTTAGATACTAAATATATGTCGTCTAGTAGGCATAGTGAGGGCTTCATCACTTAGTGGCGATTGATTTAAAGAACATCCTGTTCATAGCACTGAGTCCAGCAACGTGCACTGTAGGACAATTTATGGTAATAATCTTGATGGAAATAAACTGTTCGTTTTTTTATTCCTTCTATTCAAGCACACCCTCAATTCTTCTATGCGAAGTTGTGGCTTCAAGTGCTCTGTGCTTCCCACCTTGGCCTCCTTTAGCCTAATGTAAATATTTTAAGGAGCGTCTTGCTTCGAGAAGAAAGCTCAGGATAGGCGTTCTTCGCCCAGCACAGCTTAAGATAGGGTCATGTCTTCTCCAAGTTGTGGCTCGCTAAAGCTCTATTTAGAGATTGTTGGTGTGGTAACAATCTCAACATGGGTAGCAAAAACGATCACAGCGGTACAAATATTCACCACCCGAACTCGAAGCCAGCTCCCTGAAAATTATTTACGCAAGCCCCAGTGGCTTAAGTCGACATTTTGCGGAATATTTCGCGCTTGTCATGCTTACGAGTGCTGTGCGTAGAGCTGTCAATATCTTAAAGGTTTTCTTAACTTACACGATTATGCCGCAGTAACTGCTGTCATCCTGCGTCTATACTGATCAACTATTTTTTCTTACTTTAGTGGTGCCCAGTGCTCATGATTTTAGGCTCACGTAGAAGAAACTAAATGCTGGTATCTTTAAACAAAATCAATCGCGTAAGTGAATTTTCACTTCCTGATCTAGAGAGAGAAAAAAAAGAAACAAGGCCGGGAATTAACCTGATATTGGCATCCCGTTAATCTTAGATGTTAGCAGCTAAGGGCCGTTGCTACTCTAATAATGAGGCCGACGCCTTGTTTTTTTTTTTACAGCCAGAGCTGTATATGGCAAAAAGAAACTAAAATCCATTCACCATCTGTGTCACGAGCGGTTCTCATTTGATAAGCTATCATTTACGTCGCTCTCAGCGTCGTACCCAATAACACGTGTAGTGCCCAAGAACATTGGATGTGCTGTGCGTAGGTCACCGTTCTCACGAATGAGTCGACTCACATTGACTCACTGAGGCTCAGACTCACGGCTTCATCCGAGGCTAAGAGAGCCGTGAGTCAGAGTACGGATGTGCTCAGGTGAGTAATATTTTTGCGAGTCATGTCTTAGTCCGGTTGAAGAAAGTTTTCGTGGGTGCGAGTCTGGGTGAGTTCGGCGCTGAAAAAGTTTTCCGAGTCTAAGTCTAAGTCAGTCCAAAGAGCAAAATATATTTACATAGTGAGTATAATTGAGTTCCACTTTATTTTGCTACTCTAAGGTGCCCTAAGTGAAATCGACGATCACGTCGCTGCAGTGCCACCGAGCACGCGCACATCAGTTTCAAGTGAAGCCTTAGACATGGGTGTGGCAGGGTGAACTTTAGGAGAGTGCTGACAGTGTAAACGTGGAGGACCTTCGCATTCGCCGGGCCAATGCTGCAGTCTTGGCACAAAGACAAGGCCGAGAGCTGAGTGGCGGCAGCAACAACGTATCAATCATCTGGCAGCTTTCATAGGCTCACTGAATCCTGAACGATAATAGAGGCGCTTGTGGGAGGTGGATTCTGCCAGCTGCGCCGCTGATTAAGCTCACGACGTCAAACGCAACAACGGCTCGCCGAAGAAGCGGTGTTGCGGGTATAACACCATTACTCTGATTATAACTGAAGCGCGTTTTCTGGGTTGAACGCCCGCTTTCGTTGGGAGCTCATCATGCCGCACTTTGACCTCAGCTGCCACATCTGTGAGCGCCTGTGGCTCGAGAACACCAACTGTGATTGACGCATTACATGAAACACATTTAACCGATCATTACGTTCCTCCATGACCGAGATCACGTGAATCTGAATGAGTGGCATGTGAAATAGACACTGTGGTAAAACCAAGCGATACTTGTGTCTAACCTCATAAAGATGCACGAACTTGTCACCAATAATTGTGAAAGGCTTCAGCACAGCATCCGGTTGAACCCATTGCTAAACAACAGGGCCACTCGCTTCAGCTTTCACTAGGTATTCGTTTGTATGGAGTGCTTGGGCGGTAATGTCTTCTCACACAAGTCGCGGTTTCATATCTCCCTCTAACACCGAAGCTCTTCTTGGTCCGAGCCCTCCATGCTCGGAACACATAGTAACGCTTTTGGACAACATGAAAGGGTGTTCATCCCAAACACTGGGTCATTTATGTATTGTCTGCGGTGAACTACTCACCACTGATCCACCCAAATGAAGGTAACAGTTTTCCCCTGAAGCAAAACGTGCCACAAAACACTGTGTGGCTTGTCATAAAAATATCATCATTATAAATGACCTTACGTGACAAATATTGAATTAGTCGCAGTAAGCGTCCACTTCAATATAATGAAGCGAAAGTTTATACCTACAAATGGCGCACTCACTACCTGTCCCACTACTGCAAAAAAGGTTTTGTGGTTATAAATGTGACAAATATAGTACCAATTGAAAGCTTAAAAAAGAAGAACGATGCCAGATACCTAAAAAACTTGAAGAAAAAACGCGTTAGCCTTACCGAAGGAACGCTACGAGCTGCAGTGTTCAATCGGTCACGCATAGGTGGAGCTGGTTGCATTTTCTTCAGTTTGTAAAGTTCTAAGTGCTTCCTGTCATTATGCTCGGAATAACTGCCTTGTTCAGATATTCATTTACTTTAGTGATTTTTGGTTTGCTGTTTACACGTTACTTTAGCCTTGCTTGGAGTTTCACACACATGCCTCGACTTTCATTTTTTAGCAACTCAGTTTATAGATATATTTCTGTCTCTCAGTTTGTGTCACTATAGGGGAAAAGTTTTTTGAGGTTGAGGCTTGTTCGTTGTCGCGTCGTAGCCAGCCGCTAGGACTCTACGACCAATTAAATGGCTCGGTTGCACTCGCGCAACTCCCACGTGGTCTCCAGTTTGATAGGAAGCAGGGCAGACTCGATGGCTGGTAGATTCTGGCGGATCTCCCTGTTCGTATTGTTTAACGACGTCTGTTGGTGTCCAGTCATTTAACGAGGCAAAACTAAGCATATCTGTGATATGCTGAGGTACGCCCAAGTATATTCATTAGCACAATGTTGTTTTATTAGAGGCAAAACCAAATTCACAAATCAACACAAATTATATTTACGACCACAATACACTGTGTACAACTGTACACACTAGGGCCCTCATAGGCATGAGTGGCTATCCAATTTCATTGGTTATTTACGGTAACACCGAACTAGCTCTCTGCTTCGCCCACTCATCATCATTCATTCATTTGATATACTATGAACCCCGTGTTTGTGATACCTTTACATGAATATCTGGAGGCGCAATGATGTGAATGATCTATGGTTTTTCAGATTTACTTCCGGATATTCTACCACTCATCATCAGTCACTTTGTGGATATGGCATAATTTTATAGGCAACAATAAAGCACCTATACGAAGTGTTTTGCAGTTGTGGGGCTGGTTGGCGCGTCATTGAAACTGTAATAAACGGTGGGTGAGACTTAACACAAAGAGAAAAACTCGACAGCACGGACGCAGTCTTATGAACTCTGCCGTGTCCTGTCAACGTTTTCTATTCCTTTTTTTATCAGACGTGGAGTTAAATTTCGGGTTCAATCTGTGCGAAGTATATTTATTGTTCAATTAATGTGAATTGCTGCAATATGGTTAAAATTTTTACAGTACGAAGAAGCAGTGTCACTAGAATTACCAATGCTCCAAAGGGTCAGCCTTATTCGGCATCCAGGGCGCACTTCATTATGCCCACCACAATACCGAATGGCTCAATTGTTGAAACTTACGCGTTACAGACATACATACTACCACTGTGGTTCCTGAGCTGTGATTTGCAGGAATACACAGTTTCGTGTAATCTAGCACTAATAGCTAGAGATTCACGTCCCAAAATCAAAACGTGGCTATGAGAGATGCCGTAGTGCAGGACTCTGAAACTTTCGACCCGTTGTGGTTCTTTTATATGCCGCCACATATAAGTACAGGGTCCTCAAAACAGTTTGGTGTCCATCTAAAACGAAGCTGCCAAAGTTGTGTAATCTTGCGTGTAGAACCATAACGAAGGACCTATCCGATGGGAAGCCTGAACATGTCATAAAACCACTGCCTCACGAACGATGTGTATTGCAGAAGTTTATAGATGCATCTACATGTGCATCCAAACAAACAACGTCGTTCTGAAACAGTACCGAAATAGAAAATTAAGCAAAACTAATTATAAGTGCGAGGTCTCACTCATTGCTTTTACTGCAAGACATAGGACCCCGCTGTTTTCAAGTGCATGAGTGGTACATAGCTGAGTTGTGGTGGGTGTTCCGAGAAGTGCTGTGATCTACACAGTTTCTTTTTTTAGTTAGAGTATACATACATCCCCAATTTCGCTATACACTGCACATTTAAACGACTAAAAATACATACCTACAGTTGTATCTTCTAACATGAAGAGAATGACAAGCGCTCCCACGAACCATAGAATACCTTTATTGAAGGACCTCATCATAATTCGTTCTCTGGAATATCAACCAGCACATGCTTACATTAGAGCTCGCATACCGCTCAAATAGAGAATGGACTAGACTTCCATGTGAGTTTGGAATATGGTTATCTACGCAACGACGCCAGAGAAGAATAAGAAGCTTCCTGACCGTGTTCTTCAGTTTTCTTGCTAAACTTAGCCTCAGTTTAGATTCTGAATAACATACGGTACGCGGGAAGGCGCATTTCTGTAAACAAAACTTTGGGGACAATTAGGCTTCGCCTTCAGATTTGAGCGTGATAGCATCAATCTGTTACTAGCGCGTACTTTAAACTGTTTTGTGTATAATATATTTCTGAAATTGCAAAGCACCGACTACGTGGCCTTAAGGGTGCAGTAGTTTCTGTTTATTTTGTAGGGTGTAACTGGCTTTAAGGTATAAATTCATTATGATAGTCCCATGTTTTGACGCTCGACAGTAATGAATGGTTGCATCACGCAATTAAAGCTGCAATATTCTATGTTTTATAGTGAAGCATGTATGCAGCACGCGTGCGTTTGTACAGCATGAAGATTACTTTCATCGCATTTCCAATCTCAGAAAGTTATTTTCACAATGTGTTCACAAGCAGAACGTTGGCTGTGTGGTAGAGCAACTGCATGTCCATCCAAATGACGCAGTTTCAATCCCCGTCAAAGGCTCAGAATTTTTTATCATACTATTTGCAACCTCCTAAATTTCTTGGTTAGGCAAGTGTGATAATTTTTTCGCTACAACTACCGACGTTCTGGCACCCGAACTTCCACGAATGAATCTCTTTACTGCTATAGCGTTATTAAAAACATATTATGAAGCGTTACAGTGCAAAGCCTATTGCCGCGTATAGGCACACGAACCGTACGTCAAGGCAAAAAATACTTCGTCACGCTTGACACAACGTTTTTGCTTAAACTGCTGTTCTAGTATTGCTAAACAGAATTGCACTGACCGGTGCAAACATATTGACGGGAGGTCTTCGTATCTAAAAGGAGTGCCACGTGATAATTTATTTATGTATTCATTTATTTACAGATTACCTAAATAGTCAATATGCATTGCGTAGAAGAAGAAGACAAAACAAAACCAGAACGAAAAAGCCTACTGCAAGGTTAAACAAATATATGAAAATCACCGCACCCCTATCAGTAAATTAGTACACATGAAAATGCACATTCAATACACGTAGCACATACATAAAGAACGATTTCATAGAAGAAAAAATATTCATAATTTGTAACAGTCACTAAGGCTGTCAATTTAACTGTTGTAGTCTCATTGTTCTTGCAAGGACATTGCAGAATGAAAGAGGTAAGTCTGCAATTTAATGTAGATATCTCTTTAGTATTGCTACAGCAAGTGGATGAGTAGTGAAATATGGCTTGCCTTTTTTAGAAATTAAACACACACGGCTAATATCAGACTATATTATCGAAACTTGTGGTCCCTGATCGAGGTGCTACTCAACCTGAGCGCTTCACGTCGTAAGCAATGCCGCTGATTTGGTGTGTCAAGGCAGTACCTTACGTGAATGATTGGTTGATATGAGGAGTTCAACTTCCCAAAAACCACCATATCATGTTGAGAGACGCCGTACTGAAGGACTCCGTAAACTTTGACCACCTTGGGTTGTTTAATGTGCACCCAAATCTGAGCACGCAGACCTAAATCATTCTCGCCTTGATAAAAAATGGTGCCGCCTCGTTTGGTATTCGATCACACAACCTGCGGGTCAGCAGTTGAATATTTTAGCCACTAGACTACCGTGGTGGGACAATTTGCGTGAACAAATACAAAGAAATGTTATAGTCAAGAGTCCGATGAAGTGTCGTCTGGTCGTGGACAAAAATAGCGCCAAATAACAAAAATGGCAACCAAGGTAAAACAAAAATTTAATATTTGTATTGGCTTCCTTCAGGGAGCCTTGTTAATAATGGAAGGAAACAGCCTAATGTACTCTTTTATTGCTCCTGTCACCACGTGTTGCACACATTGCGCATAAACGGAGCGGAGATGGGGGGAAGAGTTCAGTGTTCCGGTATTTCTGTTAAGTGTATGCGCAGTTGTCACCATGCCTAAAGGTTCCATGTGCAATCGCGGAAATAATTTTCTTTTCGTGACAATGATGCAGCCTTTATCTAAGTTGATATCGTGTCGAGTAGACGCAACATGCTCTGCGAGGGAAATACAAGCCACCTCCTCAGTCTTGACGGCATTGAAATGTTTCCGGAGCTTTTTTTTTTGTAGTGGCTTGCCTCACCAACATGTACATTTTCGCAGTCTTCGCGAAGAAGTTTGTACACTACACCGGGAAAATGTGTCTGTCCACCCCAACCTTTATATTTTCGAGAGGACCTCTGAGCTTTTGTGCTGGAACATGAGCCATTTGGACGTCGTACCGGCGCAAAACCCCAGCGAGAGTTTTATGAAGCTTGGTTCGTAAACCGATGGGCGTTTTCTTCTAAAACCGTGTTAGATTGAGCTGGGTGCTGCAGTTGTCACTGCACCGAGTTCATAAATGAAGGTGGGCATCCGCAAGCAGCCAGCTCCCGTTGAATGGTCTTCACATTTCTTTGTGTGTCTTCTTGCTTAGAGCCCACTCGCTGAGCGTTTCTTAAAGTTGACACATCAGAGCGTGCGTGGCGGGAGGGGTGCACAGAATTAAAGCTAAGCGAACGACTCACATGTGTATATTTTCTGTAAACGCTGAAAGTCAGACGCTTACCATTTCGTTTGACTAGCACGTTGAGAAACGGAAGGCAGCAACCTGATTGTTAATTTACGGTAAACTGTATCGCGAAATCGGCAGAATTTATCTATTCCAAGAACCGTGGCATGGCATCCTGGTGCCAAACCAATGTCAACTAGATAATTTCAGGCCTGTTCGTTCTTTCTGCCGTGGGCTTTAACGTCACTCCGTTTATACCAGTGTATTTCGCTGCAAAGACGTGCCTACGCTTACTCTCGTCTCTCGACAGACATGGATTGCCAAGCTTGACGAACGTTTCGTGGCGTGCTGCTGTGCCTGTTAGCGTCTCGAAAGACGGTGTTTTTCTGTGTTCATGAACTGCAGCGTGCATATGTGATCCGCTTTGTGCACAAGGTAATCGCAGTAGGTACGTCTGCAAATCTGCATGGTTGTTCGATGCTGCGAGGCAAGTCATCGCGACAAATGGACCGAATTCGCGAGTGCTGACGTTTCCTAAGGAACACCGAAGAACGGAATGAACCCATGTTGTTCGTCAAGGTGACGTCGACATTCGTTGTTTTCGTGACCCGAAGGTATGTGCTTCCGTACTGCATATTATTAGGTCGCTTCATTGGCACCCTCTCAACCATGTTGTGTTCTTGCTCTAAACTAGAGACATCATGTGTGCTTCTGACTTATTGCGTAAGCCCTGGAATTAAAATATTAAACGCGCGTGGCAGTACGTTTTCCAAACAGATGTTTTTCTTTCAGATTCGGTAAACCTTTTGCTATTGGTAATTATTGTCGCGGAATTCTTGTATAGGATATGTTTAATTGGTTTAAAAAGCGGAAGGAACGCTCTTGTATTGCCTAATGCAGTGTTTCTGTGCATGATATTTTTGGGGGGTTTCCCTATCACTTTATTGCGGTATTATAGCTTTCCATCAGCCTCCAGAACCTTAGCCTTATATGTTTCATTGAAATTTAGATTCGTGTAGACATTCAGACTTATATATATATATATATATATAAATATATTTATATATATATATATATATATATGGAGAAGAATAACTTCGGCGGTTGCCGCAAGGTTATAAATATGCAAGTAGATGCGCTTTCACATGACTGTTTATTGTGCGACGTTTCGACGGGAGCCCCGTCTTTTTCAAGGCATAATACTATTTACACATGTTCCGTGTCTTCTTATAGCCTGTCGAGACAGGAGGGAAGGGGTCAAAAGAAAAGTAAAAAAGGAAAAAAAGAAAGAAGAGAGAGAGAGAGAAAAGAAAGAAAAGAAGAAGAAACAGCGAAACGGGAGGACAAACATTAAATAAAATATAGAAAATCTAGGAGAAGAAGCAAGACCGACCCGGCGTAATTATAAAGGGGCAGCATGGTGGTTTCGTTGACGTTTTCATACAAGTGCGCATGTCTTCCCAGTGAGCCGCAACTGTGTGGTGAATGTCCAGGATGTCGTACAGTCTCCCCCCCCCACCTCTGTTCTTTTTTTTCCTCTAATTTTTAACGTACATTCTGTTCCTTCACTGACAAGGAGCCATTACATATAATGAATATCGATGGCGGTGCCTCAATCACCGGCTTTTTCACTCCTCCCGACGCCACCAGCACGCACTCGAAGCACTTAAGCCCTCCCCATTAACTTGTCCTAAACTTCAAAGAGCAACGAGCCGACAGCGGACTACACGGAAAGGTGAAATATAAGAACGGCGGCTCACTGCCCACTTGGGGAAGAGTGGGTGCGGGGGAGGTATTGTTGACAATGATGACATTGCTCATCTACCTCTGCCCTACTCTGTTAAAATGCTGCCCCTTTCTAATTACGCCGTGTCGGTCTTGCTTCATCTCCTAGATTTTCTATATTTTATTTATTGTTTGTCCTCCCGTTTCGCTGTTTCTTCTTCTTTTTTTCCTTTTCTCTCTCTCTCTTTTCTTTCTTTTTTTCCTTTTTTTACTTTTCTTTTGACCCCTTTCCTCCTGTCTCGACAGGCTATAAGAAGACATGGAACGTGTGTAAATAGTATTATGCCTTGAAAAAGACGGGGTTCCCGTCGAAACGTCGGCACAGTAAACAGTTGTTATGTGAAAGCGCATCTACTTTCATATATATATATATATGTTTGCCTTGAAAAAGACGTGGCTCCCGTCTAAACGCCGGCTAAATAAATAGTTGTTAGGTTGTTAGGTGAAAGCACATCTACTTTCACAACGATATTTATACTTGGAAGAACGCGCGAGCCTCCTCTTACTGAGGAGCGAACATCACCTTTCCGGCTGGGGTCGTCTG